CGTGCATCTGACATACTCAAGATTAAAACACGCAGCACAGTGACACGGCCAGCGAGTCGTGCATCTGATAGACCCACAATTAAAACATGCAGCAGAATGATACGGCTGGCGAGCCATTCATCTGACAGACGTTCCGTGGGTGTGCTATGCCCTGGGCACTGTTGGGGTAGCTCATTTCAGCCGTGAGTAGGACAAGAGAAGCTCTGCCCTCCTGCACTTCTGTTTCGGTGGTGGGTCAGGTAGACTCTGCACTGGGTAAACAGGTAAAAGATACATTCTGTTTTAGAGGGCTGAGTTCTAAGGAGAAAATACAGACAGTTCTGATAAAGGAGGCCCCACTGTGAGTGAAAACCAGTGGAGAGGAGAGAGGGGCCATAGGAGACAGGAGCTTCTGGAGGACGGTATCACACGCACACAGGCCTGAGGTGTGGACACACTTGTGTCTTGGGGAGACGCGAGGAGACCACGGTGGCCAGCGGGAGGTGAGGTTAGGGGGCAGCAATAGATCAGGCCTTGGTTGCCATCCCAGTTCCGCTGTAACAGGAGGTAGATGTTCCTAAAAATCACTACATTGTGGAAGATTGCCAGTGAAAACCACAGGGCTTAGGAGAAAACGGGGTCAGGTCATAGCACTCGAGAACTTTATCCCACTGAAAACAACTGTTAAATATGGTACTTTCCCTGGAAGAAAAGTGGATGCTTGCTGGTGGATGTGGCCCCAGAAACGCTGCAGTGATGAGTGACTGTGATGTGGAGGAAGGAGGGGTCCCTGGAATCGGAGAGGACGTCGTGATCCAGGTGTAGATGGTGTAGGTAGCAGGATGTGAGCTGAGGGGCTGATAGGTGTTTGTGGTGTGTGCGTGCGGCTGGGGTTGGCTGGGTACTGCTTTCCCCGTTGACTTGGTGCCTGCCAGCGGTGCGTGCCAGCCGTGGACTTCCCATCCTTCTGCTTTATGAGTTCCATCTCCATTTTCTGCTGATGTGTGGGAGCTGCTGGCATGGCCAGCAGTGGCAACAGTAACGCCTTGGAGTGCAGTCCTTCACTAAGTGGAGGGGCGTCTGGAATGGCACTCAGCCATGCCCGCCTTTGAGGAGAGCAGTGCACTGTGTGGTGTCCCGATGCTGAGGCTCCTGCAGCTGGAGTGTTAATGTGCCAAGGCAGAGGGGTGGCCGAGCTCACTCCAGGGCCGCCCAGCGCTAAGATTCCGACTCCCGGCACGTGTCGGGCAGCTGGTTTCTGTGTGAGTCGCTCGTGATGGGAGCTGCAGCGTGTGGCTTTAGGCTGCACCCTACCACGTTTTAGCCAGACTGTGAGGTAAGCTTGGACAGAGTTAGAGTGTTCAGGCATAGGCTGTGGACATTGATCAAAACCCACGTTTCCTGTGTGTATGGTTTTGAAAGGACCATGTTTGTTTCTTCATGAAGCTGATTTTTTTTTGAGTATTCGGAAGTGTGTTAATTTAACCCGGATTCTGGCAAATCACTAAAATGTGAACATATTTTTCTTTTCTCTAGATCGAAAAGTATCCTTGTTGCACACCTCCCGAGCTCAGCAGCAGATAGTGGTCTCCTCTCATGACCCACCTGAGAAGGCCTTTGCACCCCCACTGGACAGCAAATATATCCTCTGTGTGTGGGATATTTGGCAGCCTTCAGGGCCACAGAAGGTTCTGATATGCGAGTCCCAGGTACAGCTCAGGAGGAGAGTCGTATGTCTGTTGGGAGGACGGGCGGTAGACAAAGCCTGAAGGTTCCCGGTGGAGAGGTGCAGGGACAGGAGGGAGGTTGGGACTTACAGGCCAGGGGGCAGAGGTGCAGAGACGTTGGGGGGACTTACAGGCCAGTGGGGCGAGGCAGAGGGACAGGAATGGGGTGGGGACTTACGGGCCGGTGGGGACTTATGGGCCAGTGGGGAGAGGCACAGTGATGAGGAGGGACTTATGGGCAGTTGGGGAGAGGCACAGGGATGGAGCAGGGACTTACTGGCCAAGGGGGAGAGGCTCAGGGTCAGGAGGGTGGTGGGGACTCAGGGGTCAATGGAACGAGGCTCAGGGATGCAGTGGGGGACTTAAGGGCCAAGGGGGAGAGGCACAGGGGCAGGAGGGAGGTGGGGACTTAAGGGTGAGTAGGGGTGCAGAGGCGCAGGGGCAGGAGGGAGGTGGGGACAGGAGAGGAGAGGTGGGGCAGGGGGCCGTGGTCGGGACTTACGGACCTTTCTCTGTGTCTCACAGCTGGCCTCAGCTGTGCTGTGGGTGCAGTGAGACACGTGGGTGTGCTTGTTTTGACTCTGGAAATTCCTAGTTCAAAATGAGAAAACAAGAGTTTTCACAGAGCAGCCCCTTAGGTCAGTTGAGAATTAGGAAATGGAGGTAGTCATTGGCTGAATGAAAACATTGGCCAAACTGGGCGTAGCTTTGCGGTTCTAGATGCCTGTTTTTTTTATCATGCACTGTTTGGGTCCTGAGGGTTTTAGAGGTTTCTTAATATCCTTGAGGTTTTTAGAGGCTTTGAAATGCACTGGGATTCGGAGGCCTTCCATTCCCTGCCCCAGCATGCCGGTGCTGTGTCTCGAGGACTGCATGATGAGGGGTCGGGACTGCCTCTCTCTGGGAAAATGTACATTTGTGTTTTCCTAGTTATATATTCCCTGGCCTCAAAGCCATTGATTTCCTCAAAAGCTGTCGAGAAGAATAGCTTTTACAGGGGCCAGTTGTGAGGACTTGAAATTGTAACTTTCATAAACAAGATGTAAATAAAATGACACAGGATGGAACTGCTACTTTTGAGGCTCAGCTGATGGAGTGGAGTGGACAGGCTCGCCAGCAGGTTTTGTGTGACTAGATGAGAGTCAGCACCAGCTGTTTGTGATCATAACAACCCTGTGGGGTGGGTTTCTCATCCTTGCTTTCCATTTGAGGAACCTGACAATCATCTTTTATTTCTGTGCAGGAGTCCACATTCTGCTTACTGTGTCCTGCACATGACATCCGTGTAAAGTGAAGCATGGTTCAATACCCCACTCAGAAAATGTAACCCCAGACACCCCATTCAGAAAACGTAACCTCAGACACCCCACTCAGTAAACGTAACCTCAGA